TCAATTATGGGAATGATAGCTTTATGGGCTGTGTCAGACTACAACCTTGAAGGGATCCAGATGACCAGCCCATCCCCCCATAATAAAAAAGATAGGTTATTAAATGAGTAGTGAATGAAAATACAGTTTCAAAATCCAAAGAGAGCCTACCATCTCTATGCTAGCCATCAAAAGCTAGCCAACACTAGAAGCTTCTGCTCCCCTACTCACTGTATGATCTGTAGTTCCTCAGCTACATGCACTGAGGAACTTTCAGCTTCAGCATTTCAAGAATGAGTATTCATAAGAGCACTGACTTCATCAGAAGGTTGTGAGAATTAAATGAAATAAGGTACAGAAAATGCTCAGAGAGAGCCTAATAGGAAAATGATAATTATAAGCCTTGTGGCTGGTGCATTTATAGGACACCCAACTCTGAGACAGAGGTTAACACGAAGGAAGGTTATTAGAAGTATCTCAGGATCTGTGCCTGGGGGTCAAGGCAAGGAAACTGGAAAGCTGACCTGGAGAGCAGTCATGAGACGGTCTCTGCTAGCCCCCTAGGGAGCTCCAGATCTCAATGGGCCCTTTTGAATTGCTCTGGATTGGGGCGAGGGTCTGTCCTTTGGGTGAAGCGGCTATCTTTAGCCTGAACAATTTCCAGAGAGGGCCACTCCGAGTAACTGTGACAGTAACTTCTCCAGTTATGAATGAGGTCAGACCTGGGAGGCACAGCAGAGTATCGCCAAGGCACTGGATAATGATTGTTATTGCTTTGATGATTCCTCTCGTTCTTTTGTTCATCTTGAATCATTTTTCTCCATCTTTTAGTTCCCTACACGAAAAATAACATTTCAGGGCAATAATACAAATGGAGAGCTGGGTCACCTGGGTGGCCTAGTTGGTTGAGCAGCCGACTCTTAGTTTCTGCTCAGGTCGTGATCTCGGGGTCATGGGGTTGAGCCCCACATTGGGCTCCCTGCTCAGCACAGAGTCTGCTTGGGATTCTCTCTCCTCCCTCTACCCCTCATGCTTGTGTTCACATTCTCTCTCTTTCTCTCTCTCTCTAAAGTAAGTAAGTCAATCTTAAAAAAATAATAATGATAATACAAATGAAGGGCCATATACCACATGTCTAAATATATAAAATGTATAAAGCAAACTACCAGACAATTAATTGCAGATGGGCACTGTATCTTATGAAGGATAGACCTTTATAATGACCTGGATGCCTAAGTAGGAAATTTCAGATTCCTTGGAAATCTGTGCTCAGTGCATGGTAGTTTGGGGAAAGCCAGTCCCAAGGCCGAAGATTAGGATCTGCTGCCTTGCCCATCCCAGCTCTGGCTTTATTCTTTACCACAAGAAGCTCAAGTGAGTGCGTGTCAAACCCCAGCCCACACTTACCATAACTTCCGCTAATAGCTGTGCTCTGCTTTCGCTCTGGGTAAGGGATGCATACTCGGGTGATGTAATCCATCCTCGGAAGGGCAGACTTGGGAAGAGGTATAAAGGGATCTCAAAGCAAGGTTGGGACAATTAGGGAAAGGAATTCTGGGGGCTATATACCTGGGCAAGATCTAGAATGGGGTATCTCAGTGGGCCTATGTGCTTTGCCCCAGAGACACCTTATTCCGTTTAGAGAGTCACAGATGAAAGAGGACCAGAGTGGGACACCTACAAAGCTCAGACAGGATGACCTAATGTCTTGTTAGCCCAGTACTGAGGGGTTCCCCAGATATAGGACTTTCAAGGCTAAAATCAGCCAAACTGGTCATCTTTATAGGATCCAAGCCAGAGTCCTACCTTCCCAGATCTCAGGGTGGTATTATGCTTACACATCCCTGTTCCTTCTTCCCAGGAAATGTGCACATGCTGTTCCTTCTCTGGAAGGCTGGGGTCTCCTTCCGCTCTGTCTAGATGCCTCATTAACCCTTTATTACCCTTCAGATCTCAACTCCATAGTCTCTTGCTCAGAGAAGACTTATCAGATCTCTTCAATAGTGCAGTTTGACCTAGCCTGATGCTCCTAGGCCAACATCAGACTCTCGCCATGGTTGCAAGCGTACATGCCTGTCTCTTGGCAGACAACCGTTTGTCCGTCCTTAACATCCTGAAGGTCTTCCACACATGCTGCTTGACTGATCACGGCAGCTCATTCTCCAGTGCTCAGTAGCAGACAGAGATTCCCTTCATTTCAGGGGCAGAGCCTCAGGATGTGGAGTTGGCTGCCTGGAAAGGGCAGTCATTTCTTCAGTGGGCTCTGCCTGACTAGACTGCTTATGAAGTGCTTGGATGCAGAAAAAGTCTTTCAGAAAGGTTTTCCTGTCACTGTGTGCCTGCATAGAGTTTGAACAAACTCCTGGGTGGGGGGCAATGCATGAACTCTTGTGGATTTTTGTGATCCACAGTTCACACAGGTGGAGTGGCAACCCCGATTCATTGATTAACAAATGTCAGTTGAACCTGTATAGCACCTGCCTTCTCCAATATATACTCTCATTTCAGTTAGTAACTAGAGCTGTAATGGAAGTAAAACAGGGTAATGAGGCCAACTCCTCTCCATTTCAAATAGTGCATTCAGGAAAGGCATCCCCAAGAAAGTCACATTGGATCTGACACCTGGGAAGACAGAAGAAATGCGTCACTCAGGTATCAGGGAGAAGCTATGGCAATGGGAAGGGCAGAGAGGGGGGCATGGTTTGGCAGGTGCTCCAGAGAAAGAAGAGCCATGCAGCTGGAATCCACCCACAGAGGGAAAGGCTGGGTAAAGGCATGGGAGAACCACACGGAGACCAGAATTACAAGACCTCTGACACCATGGCGGGTCGCTGGTGAAGAGTAAGTGACTGCTTCTACCCACCTCACCTGCAGACTCACTGTGTGGTGTCTTAGTGTGGAACATCTGGACTTGACATTGACATGCTGCCAGGGCAGGAAAGGACACCCAACCCATATGTCTAAGTGTGGAAACCAAAAGAGAAGTAAGGAGTCAGAAGAGTGTGTGACTCTTGATCTCTGGGTGGTGAGTTCAAGGCCCACATTGGGTGTGTAGCCTACTTAAAATAAAATTTTAAAAGCCTATGAAATAAAATATCTAAGTTGTACTATACTCCTCTACTTATTTAAATGCTTCTCACGGCGTTAAATATACTCTGAAATTATTACTCTATTGTCTGTATAATACCTTAGCAAAGATACCATAATTTAGTTTACCCATCCCCTTTGTAATCACTCTGTTTGTTTTTAATATATGATTACTACAACCAACAATGCAACAAATAGTCCTGTAAGTTCATTTTGCAATATATACAAATATCTAATCATTACGCTGTACACCTGAAACAAAAGTATACTGTTGTATGTCAGTTATACCTCAGTTAAAAAATTAACGGGAAAAAAAAAGAATCTTCATAAATAGACAGTGGTGATCGTTAACCAACATTGTGAATATACTTAATGCCGCTGAACTGACACCTAAAAATCGTTAAAATGGTAAATCTTACATTGTGTCTATTTTGCCACAATAAAAATTCATGAATTTTTTTAAATGTACAAAACCCCAAAATATTAAAATAATGAAAGATTAACTTTCTCTATACAGTTTGATGGAGTTTAAATATATGTTTCTATATATTATACAAACAACATATAACTTACCTTCTTGGATTTTTCTTTTTATTCTCTCTCCTCCACTATTGATCTCCTGTCTCTAGACGAGTTTCCGGTTCGCAATAAGGACTCAATAATTAATTGTTTGGATGCAATACCTGGTTAAAGGATGTGAGTAAGTTTAAGAGAAAACATCTTTAAAAGGGATCCAAATAGTGCAAACATTAGGACTTTTCCAGGGTACAGACTAATCCAGCTTTAGCCTTTATGCTTTGGTGGGGAGGAAGGCCATGTGTAAGACTGAAGACATGGCTAATTGCCCTATATTCAGACAATCCTGGGGTGCGCTCATTTCCTGATATTCCACAGAACACCAGTCTTCACTTAACGCAGTTAATGATATAATTTTTATTTTTAAAAGGGAGAGCTGATGTTCCTACCAGCTTCAGAAGATGTTTCAAATCTGGTTGTGGAGCCATTCTAGTTCCAATTAAGCAGTGGGGGGATTCAATTACAAGCTGTGGGAAGCGAAGAGTTTGTGTCAATAAACCAGCAGTGGTATTAAGGGTGGTTGTCTGGTTTGCAAACATTAACAGCTTGAAACCTAAAGGCGTGTGCTTTTGAAATTATCTAACTATGCTTCTCGTGTAGATAGGATTAAGGATACCTGAAACCCAGCCTGAGGTTTCCTTCAAAAGCATTTTCTCTCCTGGAACTCACAGCGAATTTGGGCATTAAAGTAGTATATTAAAGGGCTCACTGGGAGCTTGTTAATGAGGTTAAAGACATTAAAAAAAAAACACCAAAAAAATGGTGTCAGAAAACTATCTGGAAGAAGGCAAAATAATTTGTAGCAGGGTCTAGCTAGGGAGGAAAAGGGGAAAATTCACTTAAATAGAAAATTTTCAGATATGATAGGGCTTTTGGAAACAGATACACTATATACAAAACAGGAAACCGAGGCCTCAGAAGGTGAAGGCAGTATCCCAGACCTGTCTAACGAACTGCTAAAATCAACTAAAATGGAGACAAGGCTTGGAAAATCCCCGCAACAGGCAAAACCATGTAAGCTGTGTGAGCAAAACCATCATCTAGCTTTATATCTTGAAGGTCAGTGAAACGTAGGCTATTTCTTGTGAACGATTCTGATAATCATAAACAAAATAAAAGTTCCCTTCCTGCAGTGGTGTAAGATCATCATTTTACACCAATCCCCACCCATCTGGAAGCCCTCTTTGCAAAAACCGATTATTGTGAAAGTAAAATGAGTTCCTCATTTTCTCTCATGAGCCATACTGTAACAGTGTGCCTCCGAACTTTCTACCAGGTTTGGATTTGAAGTTTTCTATTTGTGAACACTTGTTTTCCTCCCCAATAGAGTACTCCCATCAAGGAAACTCTCTGAATTTTCTTTTGACATCATTAACAGGTCTAAAACGCCAGCCATGCATCGGGTGCTCTGCCAAGAGTCAGATACACAAATGGAATAAAGCCTCAGTATCCGCCTTTAAGGAATATACAGCTCAGCTAGGATCTTTCATCGATCTGAAATTCTTTTGCTTTACTTCTCTTTACTCACCTAAAGCATGCTGATCCTTTCGCCATACCAGTCATTCTTCCAGCTACTCCCATACTGTACATTGCTAGTCACCTTTTCTCCTTTTTCCCCTGTGTTTTCTGATGTGGCAATACAGCAATTTAAAATTATGTCATATTTTTAGAATTTGAAAATTCCAAAATTTTGATAATTTTCAAAATTTCAAAATTTGCTAATTTTGAAACTCTTTGGTTTCAGAAGACATTTGTGCTAATAGTCCTTGTTAAGCGCATTTAGCCTATATGTCATTCCCTGGAAATAAAATTTCCCTCTTAGAAAGGAACACTCCCCTCCCCCAACCTATACCATATTGTTTCCAAAATGAGGGCTCTAATCATCTAATTTCCCATGAAGCTGAAAGTAATTCCAGCTTCTCACAAATTCCACAGGAAGAGAATAATTCACCTGATGAGTGACTTTGGGAGAGGGAACGAAGCCTTCCCCACCCCCACCCCCGATTCTGTTTTGCACATATTCAAAGTGAGCTGGGCACATAGTCAGAGCAGCCGGCTATACTCTGGCTTTAAATTTTAATTCAGGACTGAAGAGATAGCGTGCTTATTTTGTCTGAGATTGAAAAGAAACCACATTTTCTAGTTGGTTTTTTTAGAAGTCAAGTTTTGGTTTTGACCTCTATCTATTGGTCTCTCAATTGGTTCTAGATTTGGAGGGGGGAGAAAGAGGGTTTTGTTGGGCTGGAGAGAGGGATCCTGAAGCACAGTACATATGTTGGGCTGAAGAGCAACTGCGCAGGAGGTCTATTTTACTGTTGAATGAAACTGTTTTTCAGGACTGAGAGAACCATCTCCACTAAGCGGCCCCAGAAGACAGAATTTTCCTGGTCAGCAAGGTAAGAGACGGGAGAAGCAAGGTGACTCTTGCTTTTCTAGCTTCTTTCAAAAGAAAGAATGGATTTGTGAGGGAGGTGGGATTAGTAGGGGAGGGAAAAGGGAGCAGGCGATACACAAAATAAATTAAACCAGGGCTTCACAACCTGAATCCTGCAAACTAACAGATAATTGAAACTATTCTGGGGAGCCTCAGGCAACTAGGGATGGCAGGGTGCAATCTTACTTGTGTCTTGTTCTCTCTTTTTTCCTTCCTTCTGGATCTTGTATTGTTTGTAAGGTGTGTGTGGGGGGTGGGGAGAAGTGATGGTCTTTGGTGTATGACCATGTTATCAGTGGTTTTTTTTTCCCCTTTAAATCTATGCTTCTTTATAGATCAGGGGAAACACATCTTTCACTTAGACTGTTGCTTCTCCAGGATGGAATGGAGAACTTTATGTGAGTGTGTGTCTGTGTACATATGTATGTTTCTATATATACATATACGTGTGTGTGTGTGTGTGTGTGTGTGTGTGTATACAAGCAAAGCACACCTAGCCTTAGGTGTGTGAGGACGGGTGAAAGAGTTAAGAAAAGGGGCAGAAAAGGACCAAGAAAGTAGGATTCATTCCCACCCTCTTTTTTCAAATGGAAGAATCAATAATCTGTGATAGATTCTATATGAAGTTGTGGTAAGCTAAAGAATGGCTCCCCAGAAATGTCCAATCCTAATCCCTGAAACCTCTCTATATGGATTTTGCAGATGTGAATGAATTAAGGATTTTGAGATGAGGTGATTATCCTGGATTATCTGGGTGAGCCCAATGAAAGAAATCATAAGGGCCTTTATGGGAAAGAGATGGAGAGTCAGAGTCAGAGGAGGATTTGGGAGGATGGAAGCAGATGTGGGGATATGAGCCAGGGAATGTGGGCAGCTCCCAGAAGCAGGAGAAGAAGCATGTTTTCCCTAAATCTTCCATAATGGAAGAGCCTTGCCAACCCATTTTACACATCTGAACCCCAGAACTGTAAGAAAATAAGTTTGTGTTGCTTTAAGACACTAAATTTGTGGTAATTTCATACAGCAGCAAAAGTAAGCTGATACAGGGATGATTAATGACTGAGGGGTAAATGAATCAATACTACTTGTATCAATAATCACAATTATTCTCATGTCCACATATTCGTGATGAGTTATATACACACCTTCTTTTTCTATATTGCAAACCCTTCAGAAAGGTGAGGGCATTTAATAAGGGCTTTTTTCCACTCTTTTTCTTCCCACTGAGAGATTTTCAGGTGTATCCCAAGCCTGGAAGTTTCTGGAAGACCAACTGCCAGGGGCTAGCCCATTATGCTTCCTTAGGGAGAGTCTATGAGAAATTAGGGAAGACAGTAAATTCCTCTCATTTTCTCCTTAACTGTTTAGTGAACTATGATTATGAACAAGCTTTGAAACACAAAGGACCAAATTTAAAGTATAGGCCTCGGCTTAGGCAGAAGGGGAGGCAGGTTTCAAGTGAGCATTTTGAGAGCCTGGTAGGTTGTGAGTTTTGGGATTCATTAATAGACTAAAAGCCCATTAAACACTGTGGAGCCATTCTTCTCTAAGCCGTTCAGTTCACTTCTTACATAAGGAAATAACGTTTAATAGCTTATTCAGGAAATAATTGGATTTTTAAAACCCTAAAATTAATTATAATATAAAATTATTGCATTTTTTCCCTTAAACAAAATAGAGTAGTAAAATTTTGAGTGTCTTAACTAAACTCATCTTCTTTTTCCATATAAACTTCCATTTCAAAGAAGTTCAGATTTTAATAGTTCTTAAAAGTATCTTTTTTAAGGAACTCTAAACTTTACTATTATAGTTAAAATTAGATTATAAAATCAATCTAATGTAAATTGAATCATTAATTAAGTCAATTTTAGAAGAAATAATTCAATTTCATTAAGGAGTTGTTACACTGATATTACAAAGTGAATGGATTCCTGTAATTAAAAAGCATTGAATTCCATATGACCATTTATCTTTCCCCCTCTTTTAACCATTTTGGAGAATTTCTAAAACAGAATTTAATTAAATGCTGAAACAAAGATGTAATTCAAAATTAAAATTCTGTGTAAGAACTCACTGGTAAAACATCAACGCAGTTCTCTTCCCCCCAGCCCCCACTATTTGGAGGAACCATAACCACATGAAGTATATATAAAATGATAAGAATGACAGCTATTAAGATGTCATTCCTTATCAATGTGATCTCCGACCAAGGAAAGGGATCCTTTTCTAAATGTTTAAGACCAGCCTTTATGAAGTGATTGATGTTTTCTTGGAGTTTAGAACTTTGTTTAAACTATATTTTCCAGAGTTAGGTTTGGTGGTATTCAAATTTTACAGAAAATAAGCCACATGTTTGGAAGATCGTAATTTTGAAGAAAGAGCCTTTGTTTGGGGTCCAGTAGACTCTCAGTGTTATTGAGCCTTGTCAACATTATCTCCACTGAGCCTCAGTTTCTTAATCTTTAATAGAAGAAACAACAACACCAACAACACCGACAACAACAACAACAAAAAATAAAAATAAAATAAAAGAAGAAACAACATCTCCCATGTGAATTATTACGAGGATTACATATAATATCACTTGCCAGTTGTCCACCGCATGTCTTGGAACACAGGAGATGGTAAGTAAATATTAGTTCTCCTCCTTTTTTGCCTTGTCAAGTTGTGGAATTATAACAGGAGAAAGACCTTTGGATCTCAGTTAGATAGTATATACTAGTGGGAGAGATTTTTCTTCTGTCTTTGCTTCCAAATTATGCTTTGTGATTTCTACAAGGTAGTTGAAGTGGGTATCTTTCAGGTTAAAAGAAAAAAAAAGCCTGTGGTACAACGACTTTGATAGCCACTTTGTAAAAAATACATACACATATGCCCGTCAAGCGATATTGTTATTATCTCACTGTTGTACGAATAAATTTTAACTTATGCGATTTTCGCATTTTCTCTTTGGCCTCATGGATATATTCATTTGAATGACTTTCATCAGTGATTTCATCCACAGACCTGCATCTTTAAAGAGGCTTTGACTAGCCCTCCTGTTTTGCCTCCCTCCAATAATTTGGACCACAGCCGCTAATTGCAGTGTCTAATTGTATCCTCAATTGGCTGATTGCACCCACAATTAACTAAATATAAGTACCAAGTGTCTTGGTGCATTCAATTTTATGCCTCAAAGGGAGCCTGTGTGAGAGGGTAGTTGGCAAGTTGGCTATTTCCAGGAAAACAATTTCTCTGACTTTGGGATTGTAGGTCTAATTTTATTTATTTACTTATTTATTTATTTATCTTAAAGATTTTATTTATTTATTTGACAGAGAGAGAGATCACAAGTAGGCACAGAGGCAGACAGAGAGAGGGAGAAGCAGGCTCCCTGATGAGCAGAGAGCCCGATGCGGGGCTCGATCCTAGGACCCTGGGATCATGACCTGAGCAGAAGGCAGAGGCTTTAACCCACTGAGCCACCCAGGTGCCCCTGTAGGTCTAATTTTAAAGCTTTCAAATATTTTTTAGGTGGCACAGTCCGTAAAGCTGGTGACTATCTTAGTGCACTTTCGAGAACATAAAATCCAGATGAGTTGCAGACAGGCCACAGTTTAAGAAAAATACCAGTAGAGGCCTGAGGTTCAATCTCATTGGCTCTTTACTTATAATAATAATGCTTGAGTAGCTCCTAGAATCTCCATCCTTACCAGTACATGTGCAATCATGGCAGACTTTGGAATAGAAGAACTGGGGCCATCATGTATTTTATTTTTTTATTATTTTTTTTTAAAGATTTTTATTTATTTATTTGACAGAGAGAGATCACAAGCAGGCAGAGAGGCAGGCAGAGAGAGAGGAGGAAGCAGGCTCCCTGCTGAGCAGAGAGCCCGATGCAGGGCTTGATCCCAGGACCCTGAGATCATGACCTGAGCTGAAGGCAGCGGCTTAACCCACTGAGCCACCCAGGCGCCCTGCCATCATGTATTTTA